AGAGAGAGATGCATTAAAATATTTGTTGTTTCAGAGAGAGAGAGAGAGAGAGAGAGAGAGAGAGAGAGAGAGAGAGAGAGAGAGAGAGAGAGAGAGAGAGAGATTAAATAAAATTTTTTTTTTTTGTGAGAGAGAGAGAGAGAGAGAGAGAGAGAGAGAGAGAGAGAGAGAGAGAGAGAGAGAGAGAGAGAGAGAAAAAAAAAACAATACACATGTACTTTTTCAATATCTGTTGTTTTACGTATCACAATATATTCTGTGGTTGTGGAAATGTTATGCAAGGAATAAGACTGAATAAGAATAGGAAAAATACTTGTGCATTGGTTCATGATTTAGACATATATTTGTGAACCATTCACTGTTTGTATGCGAGACAGTTGTACCACAGGAAAAGAAAACAAGAGAAGACAACTACTCACGGTACAATCGATTTACATAACTGTATTTCCGGTGTGTCGCGCACCAACTGTTAAAAGCATAGACCAAGATTAATTGTTGCACAATGTGCCGGCGGAGTAAGATCTACGCTGTCTTCCTTTCTATCATTTCAAATGAATAATTTCAGACTTTGATCTGTCGATGCAGTCTGCAAGGGTATATCTGGGTCTAGCATGCTGAAATTTGGTTGCGCTGTTGACACGAAGAAATACAGTGAGATATATTTCTATGTATGTTGCTATCAAACCATTTCCTGTGTACAACTTTCATCAGTTACATAAACTGTAACTTTAAAATCTGTTTATTCTCTGTGTGTAATTCGCGATGTTCTTTAATACTGAATGTCTGGGTAAAAGGACGCATAAACTTAAAGTACAAAGTACGGAAGAAAACGATGTCCTTGATAAAGTTTGTAACTGGATTATGCGATCTAAAACATGGATTTGGTAAGGTTTGTAATCAGGCTCAGCTGGCTAGAAAGTTTTTAAATGAAACTGACTTTTTAAAGTCACAATGGTTGTATGAACGGAAGCTTGTCTCTGAACAAGTCAGAAAAGGATAATGTAAAGTCCTGCTGCGAATATTTTAGGGAATTTGCCATTTGCGTCAGAAAAGCACGCGCCACTAAACATTTGTAAACAAAGAACTTTCCGTGAAAAATAAATTCATTACAGCATTTGAAAAGAATTTTTAATGCAAAATAGGATGTACGTAAAAGACATTACTCTGATTTTTAATATATTTATTTGAAGCATTGAGTACGGTTATACATAACATTTAGTATAAATGAGTTTTTAAATGTGAAATTTTCATATGTGGATCACAACGTTTGATATCTGAATGCAATATCAGATATACAAATATTATTTATATTAAAATATATTATGTCTCAGAGTTTGATTTATGTACACAATTATGCATGTGCATAAAATGTGTGATTAAACAAAATATTTGATCTATATAGCTGGTGCATTTAATTTGTATTACATCAAACATCTTTTCTTGTAGTATGTATGTATGTATGTATGTATGTATGTATGTATGTATGTATGTATGTATGTATGTATGTATGTATGTATGTATGTATGTATGTATGTATGTATGTATGTATGTGTGTGTGTGTGTGTGTGTGTGTGTGTGTGTGTGTGTGTGTGTGTGTGTGTGTGTGTATGTATGTATGTATGTATGTATGTATGTATGTATGTATGTATGTATGTATGTATGTATGTATGTATGTATGTATGTATGTATGTATGTATGTATGTATGTATGTATGTATGTATGTATGTATGTATGTATGTATGTATGTATGCATTCTCTCTCTCTCTCTCTCTCGTACCCACAATAACACAGACGTTATGCAGAAAGCAAAAACTGATTTTGTATAGTTTTCATACAGTAATATTTTAATCAAGACACTGGAGCAATTGCTAATTTCTAGATGAATGATTCAAGACTCTAGTCTTTGTTGGTTTTCTCCCTCTTACCTTTTTACATTCAGTAATTTATGAATCATGCATCTGACTTGAATCTCGAGAACATTATTTTACATCCTTTGTTATTTTCTTAAAGTCTTATCGCAGACTTTTAAGTGATTTCTCCAAAGTTTTAAATCAAAATTTGTTTCTCTTAATATCGTTTTGGACTGAGTTTAACGGCGGCTGCCCTAGTTCAATATGAAAGCGACAAAACCAGACAACTCTCGCTGCGTTCCGTTCTCGTTGAGTGTAGAGGGCGTCCTGTGTGAGTGCGATGCTCTTTCCCAAAGACTAATTATAAGAAGGTCCCTATTTCAAATACAGAGGAAGAGTCTGAATTAGAGCTTTTGCTTAAGGCATGTTATATATTACAGTTTGATTCGGAAATAAAACAAAACTATAGCCTCATAACGAACTAATAGAGGAACGGTGACACAAATGAATACGTTGTAAATCTGTGTATCCCTCTGTTAAATTCGAGGCGGTTCGGGAAACATTCGATGCGTTTTAAATTTTTCACAAACAATACCAAAGACCTCCGGCACAACTAAGTGCCTCCTTCTAACCCATCTCTTGCATAAAGAAGAACCCCACCCCCACATAAACCATTAAAGGAAAATAACAATTAGCACTTGTGAAAATTAAAGACGTTTCAAGCCAAAACCCAATATTCAAGGACCTTTAAAAGTTGTAGGAGTACTGATAAGATACATCTTGAACGAGATGTGATCAATTTTATTTTATTAAAAAAGGGTAATTGTTTACTCTTTGGAATACACAGAAATTTTTTACTTTTCCCTCGAAAAAAATCGAATTGAAAGCCGAGTACTTACTCACATTCACACAGGACCATAAACCACCCCGAAAGTTAGGAATCGTAAAACTCCCCGAAAGTTAAAAACCGTAAGCCAACCTGAAAGTTAGGAAATGGGGGATTAGTTGCATCTAACTGTTGTGTAAAACCCATTATTCCATCACATCAGTCCTCGTCTTTGAGACTAGTGCTCGTGCATTCCTTCTCATGAAACAATGAGAAAAAAATTAAAATAAAATCAGTGAACCCAGTCCACTAAAACTGTAAACTAATTAGTGTAAATTTTAACTTTTGCTCAGTCGTAGATCAATATCTTGCCTACCTTGATTATTTGTGAATTCCGTTCAGGTCTTGATGTTTCATGCTATATCCAAGTGACCCTATTATGGAGGTGTAAAGTCCTTTGAACTTAAATGCATTCTTTAGTTATTTGTCTACATTTTCAAACTGTTGATCACTTCGCATTCTGTTTTTATACTTCCTTGTACCAGAGTCAACTCAAGGACTGTATGCTCCCCAAGTATTCCAGGAAGGGTTCTTTAATCTGTGTACTCGTCAAGTATTCCAGGAAGGGTTCTATGTATCTTTAGTCTGTGTACATGTCAAGTATTTAAAGAAGGTATATTTAAACTACATCCTTTCCAAGAATTTTGATTAAAATGTCAACATATATTACATCCGGGACGCGAATATATTTTGCTGAGTCACCATCAGTTTGGTTGCAAACCAGCCTCATATCAAGGCCATGAGATTACGTTTCAATTTAAGAGTCGTACTTAAGTGCTGTGTAAGATCTTTACTTTTGTTTCAGCACTTAATCCAATAAAATGGGAATGGAGTTAAACTATTAAATTATCTCCAGACCAAAACACTGAGTATAAATAAATTTCTAAAGAGAACAGAACCATTTTTTTTTATTTAGCTTTACTTTATAATATACTTAAATATACTGAAACATCATTCTGTTGTTCTGGTTTTGATTTTCCAGGAAGACTTATTCCAGTGAAAACCGCAAATAAGATTTCAGTGATTTCAATGTGTGATCATAGCTTGATTTATTCATTGGCATCTAACTATGAAGACAAGATTTTAAATTAATGATATGTCTAAATATCAATGAAGATTTAACCTGGTCAAATTTAACTTGGCCCTAATGATATTTCGTCTCTATTCTCTTTGCGAATTTTATTTCCTTTTACTGACACCGTTACCCATGCAGTTATTTCCCTAAAAAAGCAACAAAAAAAAACCAACACATATTCAGCATAATGCAATGAAGAAATATATTTTGTTCATGGTGGTTTAATCTTGTAAAAAATATTTTAGAATGAAATACAAACTATTGTTTTGGAGGTAGACCTATACTTATACATCTTTTATGAAATAAAAGGCTATACATTTCAACTTTAATTCCAATAGTTTCATATATGTCGCTGACGGCCTTTTTCCACCGGACGAAAGGGTATGTTAATATCAATTCATGTTTTGCTCTCTCTCTCTCTCTCTCTCTCTCTCTCTCTCTCTCTCTCTCTCTCTCTCTCTCTCTCTCTCTCTCTCTCTCTCTCTTTCTTTCTCTCTCTCTCTCTCTCTCTCTCTCTCTCTCTCTCTCTCTCTCTCTCTCTCTCTCTCTCTCTCTCTCTCTCTCTCTCTCTCTCTCTCTCTCTCTCTCTCTCTCTCTCTCTCTCAGATACACATAAGTTACTTCTCATAACCAGGCACTTTTGGACTGACACTTCCAATGCCTCTGCCCATTAAAAGTAACTTCCGTTTACCATCCAGAGTGGTCTTAACATTGTAGCTTCATTTCCAAAGCTTGATCGATTGATGAAAGTGATATGTTTTTCTTTATTTACCGAGGCAATCTAAGTTCATTGACATGCCTAGGGAACAGCATAGGAGCCGTAGCAGAATTCGAACCCTCAATGCTGACTGTAAGCTTGTCATTGTATTTTTGGAGTCATCAATGTGTTTGATTCAAGCAAATTACATTTTATACTGTTAAGTTGATACAAAAACGTTACGATTTGTGGTGTGTGATTTCCATTTTTAAAGTAGCATATACATTTTTTTCAGTGATATCAATACGATGTCTTGCAGTGTGGCAGATTTTAGTGATGTCTAGCAATGAGGCATCATACTGCAGACACGTAGCACCATGTCCCACCCAGTCACATTATCCTTACACCAGGCCGACAAATCATAATATTCAACTCTTAATGCTGAGTGTCAAGCGATGCATCTGCTAGCACCATTTTGATGAGTCTTTAGTATGAATCGACCGGGGTTCAAACCCGCGACCTCCCGCATCTGAGACGGAAGCTCTAACCACTACACCACCAGATCGGTCGCAGACAAAAAGAATATTATAAAATCAACAATGATTCCTCTCATGTGAACCTAAAATATTGAGACAGCCTAAAGAGCAAAGTTGTTATGTCGCTTTTTTCATATGACAAATCTTTTGGGTGGGATGTGGTTCGGTAGGAATGTAGTGGACGTGGAAGATCAGAAGAGGTTTCCTATGTCTTTGTAGACCATGTTTTTGATAAACGACTGTTGTGCCAATGGTATGAGATATTATCTAAGCTACTGTTGCGAGTTGTTGACAATTGAATAATTTTATCCCCTTCGCCCAACACAGAGGAAGTAATATGTTTGACGATTCCCATACTTTAAATTATTATGCAATTAAGTGTGAAATTGAAAGACTTATTCACGAAATAATTTTCGTATTTTTTCATTCCTACATTTTACATGTAAAAATATTTTCTATTAGTTTCTTTTGTGAAAATATAAGATTTCCCATCATGCCATGTGACTGCATACTGTGTGTGCCTTTACAAAATTGGTTTCCGCAGCAGCAGGAACGAATATGTTGTGAGCAGGAACAAATAAATAGAAACTGACTTGCATTTCAGATATGAAAATTAATCTTTGGTAAGTGACTTTGACTAGACGCCCTCGCGTAACTCTGAAGTTATTTATCCTCACTTCCTTAAAACAGCGAAAAAACCCTCTGTGATTCACTGCTAAATCAAACATATTATTTTTTAGATAGGATGAAATAGTTTACAAAATGACAAAAATGTAATTTACTGCAACAGATTAGGTGAATCAAATCCTGCTGCATTCTTATGTCACGTATATTTATATGATCACGTTATGAAAGAGGCGAATTTACGAAAAGGGGTGGGGAGAGGGTGTTTTGCTGAAGAATTAGTTAATTTTTTAAACTTCAATTCTGGAATAAGTTTTGTATACAAAAAAAGAGAAACCTTTTTTTCCAACCTTAATACCGGATATATTTCATATTATAAGATCAAAATCTATCTATTTTAACTCATAGCATCACCATTCGTTAAAATATAAAGCTTTTCTTACTAAACGGGGAAATACTTCCGTTAGTAACGTAGAAACAAATTCCATATTTATATGAACTATGTCGAGTATAAAATCCAAGGGTATCCATTGATGAAATGGTTTATTATTAGTCAAAAACAGAATATTATACGAACGCAAGGAAGACTGATGAGCAGAAATGTAAAAAGACAATGCAAAGCGTGTCTTTTTTCTATCGTAGTTCAAACATGTTTGGTTGGATTTCAATACGTTATTAGTAACACTTTACTAAATCCGTTTATTGTAAAAGTACAATCTCAGACTATTTTTAAGTCTGACTGATTTAGTAGTTTCTGACTGATATATTTTGATTATTATAGCTTGTAGTGCATTAAACAATCATTCGATTTATTTTTATCAAGGGAAAAGAGAGAAATGCACCCATTACAAATGTAATTCAAATTTTTTGTTTCACAGAGGTTGAGCAATTGTAAATGATCTTAAAATATCCCTGAGTCTGACTGGTCCTGTGATGATTATTTAAATAGTGTTCTTATATGCATCATTTGAGAAGGCGATGCAAAATTGCTAATTTGTGAAATAAGAACCTTAAATCCGACTAGCCTAATGCATTAGTTCAATTTTTGATTTTGTTGTCCTATTCCATCGAGATGGTAAGACATAAAATTATGAATGGACTAGTGACTTGTTTTTGTGCGTTTTTATTTTAAAATTCTCGCATACCTGTAAGAGGTGGCATTGAACTAAAATATGAATGGTTCACAAGGAAGGGCCGCATTAGACCATAAAAAAAAAATAAGCAGAGAAAATACATGAAGTTCATCTTTTTAATTTATTACTTGTGGCCCAATAGATAGAATATATGAATATATTTGCTATGGTTCAGAAAACAGGTATATTACTTGCGGAAATGCACTCGTTTTAAATATTGAGTTTTCAAAGGCTTCTACATTTCCAGTGTAAAAGAAATTATGCATTTGGAAGGTTTTCTCTTCTCTTCCAATTTGCCTTTACAAATTTGTTTTGTGGGAAATGTTTGATTATTTCACCATAAAGACAACCACTCAAATAATAATAATAATAATAATAATAATAATAATAATAATAATAATAATAATAATAATAATAATAATAATAGTTCTTCATTGTCATTTCAAATAAAGCAAGAATAGTATGTGTTAAGTTTGAAAGTGCTGTTCTTCCTCGAAATTTGTATTTGCTGTTTTGTACTATTTTATTTTACGATAAACTTCAGAAGCATCGGTAGATATAAAGTGTGATTATTTTTGGTTAGGTAAGCTTTTAGAGAATGCACCTTCTTGGAATCGTGTGTATTGATTTAATTTAAATCTTTGAATAGACTTCCATGAATTGTGAAGACTCACGGTAGAAATATGATTCCTTTTAAAATAAAAAAAATCAATATAACCACTGTACATGACATAGGAGAAACGCTGTGGTATTCTTGGACCTCTGCCAACTGATTTGTCGTATTCGCCTAAGAAACGTACTTATTTGAAAAACAAAATATGTGACCTGCATTCTGTTCATACAACCTGATGATCTCTTTGTGGGGTAATGTGTACAAAAATAAATTTAGGAAGAAGGAAAAGTGGATTTTTTTGCTCGTTTCATTTAAGTCAGTCATTTATTGATGGAAGAAAATAGTACACTGTTGATAAAAATTATGCCAATTAAATAGTAGTACATAAGTCACCTTATTAAAGCATTTTTTTTTTAGCTACTGCACTTCATTTTACATCTCCAAAGCAATGACTCAATAACAGTTAAAGGGTTGTGGTGAGAACTGTAGACACCATTGAGCTCATTTTGTACTCAAAATATGCAAATTCTAATTCGTAGGCCTCAGGTGTCGATAGTGGACAAAAGGTGGGAGTGGAACTAGGAATCGACATGTCCAGAGTGGCCAAAATCAGAGGGGAATATGAGGGAAGACAACAGACCACAAACGAATAACAAAGATCAATTTATGGCTAAAAGAAACGTCTTGGTATTCCGTGGGATTCTTTTATTTCCAATAGAATAAGCAACAACAGTAAGCAATAACATGTTATAAATTTGGATGATTGACATGATTGCATCTTGATCAATTGAGACGTACTAGTCAATCATGAATTTTTGTATTGTTGTGTTTTCAAGTAATACAGTGAAGAAATCCCAAATAAATATGGCGTCAGTCCATTTATGGAGTATCCTTTCAGAAATTCAACAATGTTTCAAAAGTAATCGAGGTTTTTCATTTATATATAAAGAACATCGGGTTTGTTAGCTTTTTGGCAACGTTGTTTTTTAATGTTGTTGGAAGATTTATGACATTGTTTATGTCATTATTACATTTAACGACTGCGTTGAGAGAGAGAGAGAGAGAGAGAGAGAGAGAGAGAGAGAGAGAGAGAGAGAGAGAGAGAGAGAGAGAGAGAGAGAGAGAGAGAGAGAGAGAGAGAATTTTGGAGCAATGCCCATATGATTTGTCTTTAAAAACGTATGGAGTGAAATTATTCTTTATCTTTCAAAACTATTTTAAGTGACTTCTGTTGACAGTTTAGAGAACATGACGTATAAAGGATTTTTTGTATTCGCTCCACCAATATCTCAAATTTGAATGTATATTTTGGAAAAAAATGGTTTATTTTCAGAGCTATAAATTAATTAGGTCTTTAATTAAAATAAATATATACATTGAAGACATGGAGAATATTATTAATGTTGTTTTCCATTAACAGGTCACGTGGGTCACTTGGTGCACAATGTTCGTAGCGTGATATACAAGCAAGCAAATGATCTTTATCAAGGCTGAAAAGCCTACAAATGGAGTTTCAACAGGTAGCTGAATATGTCTTTCAAGAACTGGGACACAAAACTACAGCATTTCGACCGTTTGTTGATGGGTCTCTCTGGGAAATTAAATGACACATTTTTACAAGCCGAATAGGTAACTCAGAATATGTACCTGATCTCGATTTAGAATATTACATGAACCTGATCTGGATTTAGAATATGACATGAACCTGATCTCGATTTAGAATATTATATGAACCTGATCTGGATTTAGAATATGACATGAACCTGATCTGGATTTAGAATATGACGTGAACCTGATCTGGATTTAGACGGATCAGGCTATCCAGTATTTCAATAACTGTCCATCCATTTACTAATATAAACACATTACTGGCATAAATTCCAAACAGTACTTCTGGTCTCATATATAAAAGTCAGTACTGCCCATGATATATTTTTAAGGAATCAATCATTTGACATAAAAATCTGAAATAGTTACTGAAAAAATAAATTCTTTGCCATGTGGTAAAATATTTAAAATTTGCAAATATATACATATTTGGTGTGGTATAAATTTAATTAGGTTTAATTAATAGCGTTTAATTCATTGATTATATAACAAATTTATTTCATTTCATTAGGGCCGTGGCTTCCACCCCGTTCCGAAAAGTTGCTTGTATTTGAACAATGAATTTGATCAAGAGAAAAAGACACTAATTCAAGAGCCAATTATTTGAAATTAATTCAATATTTTTCCTTAAAATAATAATTACCTTATAAAAGATAGGAATAATTAACTTTAAAAAAAATATCGTCATAATGGTTATTCACTGACGGTCATATAATACGTGCATGATATTCTTTTTGTTAATCAGTTAGCGAGGTGATAATATAATGTCAGCACATATTTGGGTGACAAAAATTTTGTATCTCAAATGCAGCTGTCTCCATAACACCTCCATAGTGACAATGAACTGTCACCGTTATGATGGTTACTCTGTAACACACACACACACACACACACACACACACACACACACACACACACACACATTATACATATCAGAACCCGGTAACTCTGGAGTTTCATTTCCCATAAATTTCGTGTGTTTGTTGTGTGTTTATTTACAATAAGTAGTTCGTCTAATCTTTGTGGTCGTTATCCGTGTATTGGCCCCTCT